AAAAAAAAAAAGAAAAGAAAAAAGTATAAGGTGTAAAAATACTTAGCATTTCCTTCTACCTGATTTCCTGTAGCCTCAAAATGGGCATGATAAAGAAGCATTCAATGTCGATTCTCTTCTTTATTCTGAACGCAAATGTTTCATGTTTGCTGAAAAGGAAAAGGACAAAATAATATTTAAAAAACACATTCTTTTCTTTTTTGGGGGGGTGGTGAGTACTGTGGTGTCATAGCTCACAGCAACCTCGAACTCCTGGGCTGAAGCAATCTCTTTTCTCAGCCTTCTGAGTAGCTGGGAGGGACTACAGGTGCCTGCCACCATGCCCAGCTAGTTTTTTTTTTTTCTTTTCTATTTTTAGGAGATAAAGGGTTTCACTCTTGCTCAGGCTGGTGTCAAACTCCTGAGCTCAGGCAATCTACCCACCTCAGCCTCCCAGAGTGCTGGGATTACAGGTGTGAGCCACTGTGCCCAGCCCATTAGAAAACACTTTCAGCCATCTTAAGAGAAAAGTGAAATAATCATGGTGCATTTAAAATGTTTTTCATTGTCAGTGTATCCCCAAGTCTTATGAGGGCACAGTGCTGGAGGAGTGGGTGGCCTGTCTTGGAGGGTCAGAGATACCGTGCCAAGTGGAAAGGGCTGGGCCCAGTTTCCAGCTGTGTACTCAGTAGACCTGGGCCCCCTATACCTCCTACATGTCAGGTTTCTGGTGGTAAAACTCGTCTCATAGTCTGGCACAAACTCCACAAAGCTGTGTCTGTGAAAGTGCTCTGTAAATGTTCACGCAAAGTAACATTGGTGACCATCAACCTCAATGGGGTTGCTGCAGACTCAGGCATCCCTGGAGAGCTGGGGAAGGCCCAGTGGCTAACACGCCTTCTCAGCTGCCCCTGTCCAGCCACAAGCTCTCATGGCATAGGATTGTCAGGACAGGGCCTTCAAGGAAGAGGCCCCTATGTATACAGGTGTCATCAGCCTTCTTGGTCTTCCTAGAACTTTGAACTAGAACTCTCTTGGACAAAGAGGGGTACCTTTAGGCTGGGAAAGCCTTGAAAATTTTTATTTATCCTTTGTTATGGGGAGGGCTTCCTGAGAGCATATGGCCTTGCTAAGCACTCCATGGCCTCAGCTGGGCACCACATGCATAGTCACGACCCACTAACATGCCACCTGCCTGCTGCTGCCACTGTGGGTTCTGTGGTGGACCTTCAGGGAGGCATCCTCAGGGCTGCCATCATGTCTGGAATGGTCCCCAGCTTCCCACAGCTCCCACCACCAACCCAAGTGCCACGCAGAGCCCTGGCAGCAGTGCAGGCTTCTAGCCCTGTGCTCAGTGGGCTCAGCATCTGAGGGCAAGGTGGCACTGGCACTCCCCAGAGCAGAAACACAAGGCCAGGTGGCTGTGCAGTGAATGAGTAGAGCCCAGTGAGTGTCTGCCTGCCAGGTGTCCAGGACGAGCTCAGGCTCCACTCAGCTTTCAGGCTGCCAGGCTTGGGGGGTAAGGGTGGAACGTAGGGGTAGCATAGACAGAAGCTTGGCAATCTGCACAGAGCAGAGCCCAGCCACCACATGGGGCAGCCATCTGGACCTGCGCTGGCATCACAGAGATTTTCCCTGATGTTCTTAGCGTCATGTCCCTGTGACCCAGGAAGAGTGACGCTGCCATGTGCCTCACTCTTGTCTGGTTTTATTCTCTGAAAGCTGCGAAGGGGTGTTAGCTCCACTCAAGAGGATGCAGCCAGAGCCATCACAGGACTTCCGGCTGATGTGTCCAGGGCAAGGGCCAAGGCCAATGACAGGAAGCAGGAGGCAGTCCCAAGAAAGAAGAGAGAAGCTGGTCCCCACAGCGGTTCCAGCAAGGAAGACACAGCCACTGCTTCTGGGCAGGGTCGGGGCAGCTGTCTCCATGTGGCCTGTGCAGGGCAGGAAGGCGATCTTAGTGTCTGACTCTGTTGTCTTAATAAGTCTTTCTTCTTGATCATGACCCTTATGTCTTTGCTCAGACTGTAAGGGTAGCATTTGTTCTTCCGTTCAAAGGGAGAATTACAGTTGTTTTGAAGGTGCAAATCGTTTAGTTTTTAACATAGTTAATCATTTTCCTTAAAGGACGAACACTGCCTTTCCAGGACACTGTAGAGTCATTCACCAGTCCTGAGTACATTGGTCAGTGGTCACTGCTGAGCAGGTGCCTGGGGGCAGCATGCAGCGGGTGGTGGGGGCCCGTAAGGCCCACACATGGAAAAAGCCTGACACTAAAACCACCCTATAACATGCCAGTTTCTGTCACAAGGTGGTCAGTACAGAGTCTGTCCACACTGCTGCCCAATCACCTGTACTGAGGGTCTCTCTGTACAGATGCCCTCCAAGCCATCACAGAGGTGACCTGCACACTCCAGCACAGCCTTGCCCGGCTAGAGAACCTCCAGAAGCTAATGGAGCTGCAGCGGGACCTTGTGGGCATAGAGAATCTCATTGCTCCCAGCAGGGTGAGTGACCTTGTGCTGGAAAAGTTTCTGAACTACTTATTTAATTTCTTTTATATTGAGATATAATCAATAAAATGTATCTCACCAAATTATATTAAAGTATATATAGTTCATGTACCATAAAATGCACCCTTTTAAAGTGAATTCTTTCGTAGTGTTTAATAGTTTCACAAGGCTGTGCAGCCATCACTGTCTAATTCAGAGCATTTCATCACCCAAGGGGCTCTCGTTAGTGTCACTGCCGCTGCCCCCCAATACCAACCCACTTTCTATTCTATGGAGTTGCCTGTTCTGGGCATTTAATGGAAATCAAATCATGTATTATGTGGCTTTTTGTGACTGGCTTCTTTCAGAATGTTTTTAAGGTTCATGTATGCTGTAGCACAACCCAGTCATGCAAAAGCATTTGTGTGACAAGAGGGCAGACCTTCCTTGTCTTGTGGGGCAGATGTTGCGGCCTGGACAGGGTTCACCTTGCATGTGTCTGTGAGGGTCACTGCGTGGAGTGCTCTTCCTCTCGTCTCCACAGTGCATGGGGCCTGCTCGTGCAGTGTGCACTGGCACGCACTCAGGGCACATGCAGGTAGTAGAAAGGGCTCCAGAAGAAGCCCTGGCTAGGGGCTCTTCAAGTGTGCAGGGCTCTCGCTTCCTGCCACCCCACAGGTATTAGGGACCTGTGGGAAGCATGTATGTGCGGGGCCTGGACTGGGGCACTCCCGTGCCAATGGGAAAGGTGAGGCTTTCTCTAGAGTCCTGGGGAAATCCTAGCTAGGTGGGTGGCACCTATGGCTCAGTGAGTAGGGCGCTGGCCCCATATACCAAGGGTGGTGAGTTCAAACCTGGCCCTGGCCGAACTGCAACCAAAAAATAGCCGAGCGTTGTGGTGGGCGCCTGTAGTCCCAGCTACTCGGGAGGCTGAGGCAAGAGAATCCCTTAAGCCCCGGAGTTGGAGGTTGCTGTGAGCTGTGTGACACCATGGCACTCTACCAAAGGCCACAAAGTGAGACTCTGTCTCTACAAAAAAAAAAAAAGAAAAAGAAAAAAGAAAAGAAATCCTGGCTAGGCAGGGGAGCAAGGGCAGGTACCCCCTCGCTCCATGAGAAGACCCAGCATGGATGGCTCCTGTCAGAGCTTCATCCCCTTGTTCCTTTGTGTTTACAGCCTTTGTGGTATCAGGGATTCTTCATTCTTATTTAATACCCTGGGCAGCTACCTTATGACCCTGCCCTTCTCCCCATTCCTCAGACATGCTCCTGCTCACCCAGTCTTTCTCAAGCAGAGCTCTGATGGCATCTTTGTGGCCAGACCTTCTAGAAGCCTCTCCTCACCAAGAATAATGCTCTTCACTTTACCTCTGGGTTGTCTCAAGCTCCAGAGCTCCTGGCCCAGGGCAGGTGCTCAGTAGACAATTTGGGGGGGAACTAAAGTAGTCAGCCCCAGCACATGGTGGCTGTAGGCACTAATAAAGGGTTGGGGTGGGCCTGCTGGAGGGGCCAGAGAAGCACAGGTGGCCACATAGCTGTTCCCACATGCCGTCCAGCCAGCGTGCATCTGCAGCTGCCCTCAGCCGCCTCAGTGGGCCCCATCTGTCTTTCAGGAGTTCATCCGCGAGGGCTGCCTGCACAAGCTCACCAGGAAGGGCCTGCAGCAGAGGATGTTCTTTCTGGTGGGTTCTTTCTCCTGCTTAATCTGTGAGTCCCTGGAAGGAGTGGGCAGCAGCTCTGTTAGGGAAGCTGTGCACACCCACAGCCCCCAGGCCCCTGTGCAGCTCAGCACCCTGGCCTTGGCTCAGGTGGGAAGCGTCAGCCAGGAGCCAGGCGGGCCGCAGCGAACAGCTGCTCTGCTCACCCTGGGCCAGCTCCCTCTGCCCCCAGGTTCTGGGCACCTGTTGGAAGAGAACAGAAGTTGACAAGTCCATATGCCTATGGCTGTAGGCAGGTTCTGTGAATGGCCCAGTGGCCAGACAGGGGATTTTACTGCTGGGCCAGAGGCCAAGGACCTCCCAGCCTGTCCTTGTTCCCTCCCTCATGCCCAGTTTCTGGATCCATAAGTGGATCCAGCCTGCCTGGTCCACATGAGAAGGCTGAGCCCCACCAGCCAGAGTCCCTGCCTGCTCCCAGCTGGTGAGCTGGCTGAACACATGAAGGGCTGGCCCATGTGGTTACTTCTTACCTCTGGTCAAAATGATCAAATGAATGAAATAAAAGTTCCTTTTTTGTCAGAAATCTCCAATAAGGGCTGGGTACCCATAGCTCAGTGGTTAGGGTGCCAGCCACAACCTCCGGGGCTGGTGGGTTCAAACCCAGCCCTGGCCTGCTAAACAAACAAGCAAAAATAGGCAGGTGTTGTGGGCGCCTGTAGTCCCAGCTACTAAGGAGGCTGAGGCAAGAGAATCACTTGAGCCCAAGAGTTTGAGGTTGCTGTGAGCTATGACAACACAGCACTCTATTCAGAGTGAGGAAACGGGACTCTGTCTCAATAAAAAAAAAAAAAGAAAGAAATCTCCAATAAGCTGAAGAGATCTGATAGCCACAAAACAGGTGCCTAGAGGCTATTAAGACAGCGCTGACTTTGTCACTTGTTCCTGAAATTTGTTTATCTAAAGCTTGGCATCCCTCAGTTCTCAGATATGCTGCTGTACACAAGCAGAAGTGCCTCAGGGACCAGCTGCTTCCATATCCGGGGTCTCCTTCCACTCCGAGGCATGCTGGTGAGTGGCACAGGCCCTGCAGGCCCTGTGCATGGTGAGAGGCGCCTGCCTAGCTTCTCTGGTTGTGCTGTCCCCCTTGGTGGTCACTGTCCCTGAGGGTACTCACACTGCCCTGGGACCTCCTTGGTCAGCCTGGTGACCTGTGGGCTCAGCCTGTGCCTCTGGCAGCTCCTGGAAGCTCCAGGCCTGCGCCCCCAACTCAGGGGAGCCTTTGCTATCGCTGTTTCTTAGCCCCGTGTGGAACTCTGTGCAGGGTCCAGTGTACCTCTGGTTTGCCCTGAGACCCGGGGGTGGGATTCCATCACTTGGAAACTGTCAGGGGGTTTTGTGTGAGAACGCCAACCTAGTTTGAAAGCCAGCTGGGGGAAAATGACAGTGAAATACGCGAACTCAGGCTCGGCGCTTGTGGCTTGGGTGGCTGAGGTGCCGGCCACATACACCTAAGATGGCGGGTTCGAATCCAGCCTGGGCCCGCCAAACAACAATGACGGCTGCAACCAAAAATTAGCCAGGCGTTGTGGCTGATGCCTGTGGTCCCAGCTACTTGGGAGGCAGAGGCAGGAGACTCGCTTGAGCCCAGGAGTTGGAGGTTGCTGTGAGCTGTAATGCCACAGCACTCTACCCAGGGGGACAACTTGGGGCTCTGTCTCAAAAAAAAAAAAAGAAATACACGAGCTCAAAACAAAATCTAAAGATGCCTGGAGAAGGCTTACATTAACTCAGGCTGAGTAAACCAAGAAAATGCAGCCCCTGTCTAACAAAGGTGCATGTGCAAAACTAGGGTAGAAAAAATCCCAAGTCCCCAGGAAACTGAACAGAAAGAGGCTGGGTAAGTGGAAGGGGGCAGGTAAATACAGGTGTATGTAAATAAAAGGGGAGGGAGAAGCTAGCTGTTCATGCAGAGGAGGTAAACCAGGTTTCCTAAACTAACTACATATTCAAAGAAATTAATCCCTCCCATCTGTTGACTCTCCTGTGCATAGGCCTAGTCCAGCCTGTCTGGGTGCCTCTGGGTTCTTTTCATCTGTGGATCTGAAGAACTCCTAGGGATTGCTCATCAGCAGATGTTCCCCTGAATGCCCCAGGACTGAGACAGGGTGCCCTGTGGAGAAGTCAACCTGTCTACTTCCCACAGGGAACAGTCACATGCTCCATGTCCATTCCTCTGAGGCTGAACACAGGGCTATTTGGCTTGAGCTATTGATGGTGCTGCCATGAGCCCTCCGTCCTTGTGATGTTGCCATATCTCGAGCAAGTACACTCCTTGAGTGAGACACCTGGCTAGAGCAGTGACACTTTCATGCTCCTCTCTCTGAGGAGCAGAAATGCTTCCTATGCTGAGATCCAGTTTATCAGCCTGGCCCTGTGTGACCACTACTTACTGTGGCTGGTGCAGCTGGGTAGCTCACACACAGATCAGGGCTATTCCATCTGCATCTAAGTGTCCTTCCCTCAGCCTGGGGTGGTACAGATAGAGGCCACGTGCAAATCTGGCCATGGGGTCTGCATTAGTCAGGACACCTGCTGCAGTGAACAGCACCCTGGGGACCTCCACGGGCCTCCCACTCAGGGGTTCATGGCCAGGGGGTTCTGACACCCAGCTCCATCCCACCCCTCTTGACCCATCTGCTGTGATCATTGCAGCGGCCACCAGCTCTCCCCACTCCTTCCAGGGTACACCTTCATCATTCCCTCCCACCAGTTGTGACAGTGAGTTCTGCTTTCCTAACGCATCAAGAGGAGGTTGGTCAAAATGGCCTCATCTGCCGTCATGGGAAGCAGGTCCCATCTGTTTTAAAATTACACATTTAATATAGAAATAAATACCTGGGCTCGGCACCCATGGCTCAAGCGGCTAAGGCATCAGCCACATACACCTGAGCTGGCAAATCCAGCCCGGGCCTGCCAACCAACAATGACAGCTGCAACCAAAAACTAGCTGGGTGTTGTGGCGGGCACCTGTAGTCCCAGCTATCTGGAAGGCTGAGGCAAGAGAATCGCTTAAGCCCAGGAGTTGGAGGTTGCTGTCAGCTGTGATGCCATAGCTCTCTACAAGGGCGACAGCTTGAGGCTCTGTCTCAAAAAAAAGAAGAAAGAAAGAAATACCTGGAAATGTAAAATAAAGACAGTTCAGAGTTCTACCACACAGTAGGAGCCCACCCAGGACATCTGCATTGTGCCCTCAGTTCCCCTGTGCTGGGATCACTTCCAGGGGTTGGCTTGTCACCTGTGCCATATGCTCAGCCGTCTGCCTCATGTCCCTGTGCTTGTCTCCTGGAGCAGAGATGGGTGTTAGACAGGTAGCCAGTTACCCAAATACCTGTCACCAGAGGTTGGGCTGCACCCAGCTCTTGAGGCTTGTGACACTGTTAGACTTCTGTCCTTCTGCATATCCTGAATTGTACCCTTAAGATCAATCGCAAAATGTAGATTTGTTTGAGCAAAGGGCATGTGTTATGTGTGGCGTTGAGTGCTCCTGCCAAAGTGCTGTCCAAGCAGCTGCCCCAGCAGCCTAGGCATATACATTTGTGAAAACTTTATATATAGTGAAAATGCTAGCCAACCTTTAGAGGTCACAAATACTTATCCCAGTTAGTAACTGCCTTTCTACTTTCACCTGAAATTTGGCTTTAGATTTTTTTTTGGTGACAGAGTCTCACTTGTTGCCCTAGGTAGAGTGCCCTGGCATCATAGCTCACAGCAACCTCAGACTCTTGGGCTCAAGCATTTCTCTTGCCTCAGCTTCCCAAGTACCTGGGATGACAGGCACCCACCACAACACCTGGCTTTTTATTGAAACAGGAGTCTTACTCTTGCTCAGGCTGGTCTTAAACCTATGAGCTCAGGCAATCCACCCGCTTTGGCCTCCCAGAGTACTGAAACTACAGTTGTGAGCCACCACACCCCGCCAGCCTTGCCTTATAGAATTTAAAATCAATCCTTTAAAAAAATCTTTTTCTTTTAATTTTTTATTTTTATTGTTATTTTTGTTTGTTTGTCTCATCTTGCCGCTGGGTAGAGTGCCATGGTGTCACAGCTTATAGCAACCTCAAACTCCTGGGCTCAGTCTTCCAAGTAGCTGAGACTACAGTCACCCACCACAATGCCTGGCAAGTTTTTCTATTTATAGTAGACACAGGGTCTTGCTCTTGCTCAGGCTTGTCTTAAACTCCTGAGCTCAGGCAATCCACCTGCCTCAGCTTCCCAGTAATGCTGGGATCACGGGACCAAGCCATCGCACCTAGCCTTAATATCCATCCTGATGGGGCTTATGTTCATCTCATTCTGGACTGGTATCTGACACAGAGAAGGCATCTAGCAAAAGCTTGTTGAAGGAGTGAATTTAAACACATACTGTCTACAGTGGCTTCTAGACTTAGGATTGGCTATATCCTGATAAACCCAATCTAAGTTAAAAATATGGTAGATCATAAATGCATTTAATACACCTAACCTATCAAGCATCAGCGCCCAGACAAGCCCACCTTAAATGTGCTCAGTGCACTTACATCCGCCTACAGCTGAGCAAACACCGGAGGGGGAATCCTGCATCCTTAAAGGAGACCGTAGCCTTCGAAGTCTTTAAGTGCAGCCTTTTGCCTGATTCCAAATTTTGCAGAACAGATCCTTTTACTAAAAGGGGTGCAGCAGAGAAAGATGAAGCTTTTCTTGCCTCCTTTGATGTTTAAAAAAGAAGAAACTTGGCTGGACACAGCTGGGAAGATGGCTTGAGCCCTGAAGTTTGAGGTTGCTGTGAGCTGTGACACCTCATTCTGCTCAGGGCGAGAGAGTGAGATTCTTTCTAAAAAAAAAAAAAAAAAAAGGAAAAGAATCTTGAAGTCAGAGGGCCACAGATTCCCCCAATGAAGCATCGAATAGTTTGTGTAACTATTGACTGCTATACTAGAAATGGAGAACAAGGTGGTTGTGTGGGCACTCAGAGTTCTATTGGACAGGTAATCACCCAGGGACCATCTGGGGTCAGTTCTGTCCATTCTATCCATGAAGGTTTCCATCCTTCGTGGGGCTCAGAAGCTCTTCCCTATGCCAACTTTATACTGGTACCTTTTTTATGGTATCATTTTTCTCGCATAATCTGCCTAGTATTTGTTGTGATAAATGTTATTCAACTGAGGTATAACATTTTCTCCCCATTAGTCATTTTCCCCATTATTTGTTGATCCTTCATTTTCTTGCTGATCTGAAAGGCTGCCTTCATCAGGTAACAATCTTCTGGTCACTCTGCCCCATCAGGCCACACTTTCCTGAGTGGTATCCTATGAGGCAGTCACCATGTAGGTGAAGATTTCTCATCCCTTTTTCATCCTCCTTTGAAAATGTTCTTTGCTGGCTCAGCTCCTGTGGCTCAAGTGGCTAAGGTGCCAGCCACATACACCTAAGGTGGCAGGTTTAAATCCAGCCCAGGCCCACCAAACAACAATGACAGCTGCAACCGAAAAATAGCCAAGCATTGTGATGGGCGCCTGTGGTCCCAGCTACTTGGGAGGTGGAGGCAGGAGACTCGCTTGAGCCCAGGAGTTGGAGGTTGCTATGAGCTGTGATGCCTCAGCACTCTACCCAGGGGGACAGCTTGAGGCTCCTGTCTAAAAAAAAAAAATGTTCTTTGCTATGCTCAAGCATTTAATTCTTCCAAGTAGAACAGCGCCTGTGGCTCAATGGGTAGGGCACTGTCCCCATATACCAAGGGTGACGGATTTGAACCTGGCCCCTGCCAAACTGCAAAAAAAAAAAATAGCTAGGTGTTGTGGCGGGTGCCTGCAGTCCCAGTTGCTCGGGAGGCTGAGACAAGAGAATCACCTAAGCCCAGGAGTTGGTTGCTGTGAGCTGTGACACTACAGCACTCTACCGAGGGCAGTAAAGTGAGACTCTATCTCTTAAAAAATAATAATAAAATAAAATAATTCTTCTAAGTAAATTTTCTTGTTGGACAAATTCTTCCTAAAAACATCATTGGAATTGCAGTTGAAATAATATTTACATATTCACTTAAGGGAAGACTAACGTCTCAACAAGGTTTTGCCAGCCATTTTTTTTAAGTCTCACTGTCACCCTGGGTGGTGTTGTGGCTTCACAGCAACCTCAAACTCCTAGGTACAAGCGATCCTCCTGCTTCAGCCTCCTGAGTAGCTGAGACTACAGGCACCTGCCACAATTACCTGACTAGTTTTTCTATTTTTAGTAGAGACAGAGTCTTGCTCTTTCTCAGGCTGGTCTCAAAGTTCTGAGCCCAAGCAATCCTGCCTCAGCCTTCCAGCGTGCTGGGATTAGAGACATGAGCCACTGCTCCCAGCCAGTTTCCTTCTGTTTCTAAGAGGTATTGTCTGTTGGATTTTAGCAAAGGTATTTTTAACAAAAGTGTTTTCAGCATGTAGAGAAAATGGTCACTTTTTTCTCTTTGCCTTGTAATAGGATGAATTTTATTAATCAACTCTCTACGGTCACACCCTCCTTGTGATCCTAGAACCATGGGACAATCCATGGGACGTGGGATCATGGGACAATTCCTTGTATGTGTTTTTAGGCTGGATTTGGTAAATTTTTTAGTTTTTTCATCTAACCCTTATAACTAAGATTAGTCTATAAAATGTTTTGTTTAACTCTTAACTTTGTTAGGTCTGTAGACTCTAACCAGGTTTAGAGATGAAATACCCAGGACTCTTTTTAATGATAAAAATGCTCAATATTTTCTCCTTTGCTTGATTTGCAGCTAATAGTACTGGACCCCCCGGTGAGTAGATGGTGCCTGTTGGCCCACAGCTGAGCCCCTGGGTCGCAGCTGCTGCGGCATGAGGACACCAGCAACCTCTTATAGCCTCCTCCATAGAGTCAGTGTAGACACGGGCAGTGTGTATTTTCCAGGCTGGGTCCCCACACTGCTGGCAGTCACCTGTGTCATGCGCAGGTTTGGGCTCAGCCAGCTCCCTCCTGGTCAGTGAGTTCTCCATCTCTTCTCCCACTCACAGGTGGAAGAAAGCGAGAGTGAGTGGTCAGCTCCACACTGCTTCACTATCTATGCAGCTCAGAAGACAATCGTGGTGGCAGCCAGGTATGGGCCTTCCATACCTCCATCCCACACAGGAACGTGATCCTGAGCTCATCAGGGAGCAGCTGCTAGGGTCTCTCACCCAGCTCTGCAGGGTCCCCAGACATCAGAGAGCACAGGGCACTCACCTCCCACCAGGAAATGCCTTCAGCTTAGTCATACAGAGAACAGCATCTCTCGGACAGCAGGTCCTGCACATGCCCCACTTCATGCTGAGGCACTGCCCCACCCCATGCCCCTATCCATTCGTGGGATGCCAGTGGCATGGGGTGGAGTAGGCGCCGACCTTCTCTCCCCCTCTGCTGAGGGCTGGTGCCCCAGGCTGCAAGACCCAGCCCTGAGCCTCAGCCCTTGTCCCTACAGCACTCGGCTGGAGAAGGAGAAGTGGATGCTTGACTTGAATACTGCAATCCAAGCAGCCAAGGGCAGCAGCGACAAGGCCCCTGCACTGCCAGGCAGGGCTGCATGTGTCCCCACCCCCAGTGAGTTGTGGCTGAGGCCCCAGGAGAACACCACTGTGCTCAGGAAGCTTTTCTGGAAATTGTTTTCCTTGGTAGCCATCACCTGCTCAGTTCCTGAGTACTCCCTCTCCACAGGGAGCACCCCAGGCCCAGCCCAGGCGGGTGGAAGGGTCTGCAAACTGCCCTGGTTGCCGGCTGCTGGCATGGAGGCATGGAGGCATGCAGGTGTCCTCCAGCAGAGGGCTCCAGGGCCCACTACAAGTAAACATGCTGTGGCCTCCCCCAGGACCCTCTGACCAAGCTTCTCTGGAAGAGTCAGAAGAAGGTGCCCAGGGCACTCACAGCTCCCTGGAGAGGCAGGGCCAGCACCGGGCCAACACCACCATGCACGTGTGCTGGTACCGGAACACCAGCGTGTCCAGAGCGGACCACAGCACAGCTGTCGAGGTACAGCAAGCTCCCTGTTGTCAGAGCTAGGCCTCAGCAAAAGTTCTTAAACTTTCTTAGATCTACTGAGAAAGCAGTGGCTGGCAGCAGCTCTGGGTGGTCTTTACCAACTGTGTGTTTGTTTTCTTACAATTCACCAGCTATGGGTGTGGGGGACCCTCGGCAGAAGTTACTCAGAAAGTCCCTCTCATCTACTCAAACTCTCTTGACAAAGATGTCTCACCACAGATCAATGATCTGGTGTCCTCTTATGATTTGTGGATAGAAGCCCTCCTGGGTACATCCCACACCACTGCCTCTCACCTCAGGCTCTGCCAAGCTCCTGCCCTCCCAGGACCCCAGGTCCCTCAGCCCAGCACCTCCACACAGCCT